TTGAACATCTTAAAAGATAATATTCAACTAGTCCCACATATAAAATAATTCCTCATTCTTAGAGGATAAGGAAGATTCCTTTATGGAGTCAATAACCTAGATTCCTTTATGGAGTCCAAGTCGCCCCTCTCATTGTCTTTAGAGGACAAGGAAACTCTTCCCCTATAAATAAGAGGATAGGTGTGGCATGGAAGGTTAATGAACAACCATAGAGTATTTTAGCCAAGTTAAAAAGGAAATGAGAAATTTGGCCAAAAGAAAAAATAGGGTGGGAAATTTCAACCATCCCTAAAAAATTACCTAGAGCACATGGCCAAGAGAGAAAAATAGGAAGAAAATAGTTTTCTCCTAAACCCTAGCAAGAAATACTCTTTCCTCCTCATTTAAGGTTATTGTAAAATGGCTCGGGATTGATTTCTAGAGGAAATACTTGATGAAAAAAAGTGGAGCTAGCACCCCATTAATTTTGAGTACTTCTTTATGGATACTTGGGCTACGTGGATTATCAATAGAGGTCGGACACTTAAATGGCTAATCAAAGAGAAGAAATTTAGATCCGAGTTTATTATTCATGTATGTATGATTAGTAGATTCAATGGTATGATCTTGGGCCCTTAGATGGAGGAAATTTTTTTATTTATTCAGCACCTCCATAGGATGCATGATTACAACTCCTTATCCTAAAAATACTTATTTGTGTGTGTGTGTGTGTGTGTGTGTGTGTGTGTGTATGTGTGTGTGTGTGTGTGTGTGTGTATGAATGTATCTAACAACATACAATCATTGAGAAAGAATTTTATGTGTATCTTCCTAAAATAAAAAGGAAAGCAAACAAGCATCAAGTCAAAAAAAGGAGAAAATAGTTTTCTCTTAAAAAGACTAGTACACGCCACCTTCTCTCTCTCTCTTTGGGTTGTCATAAAATTACCCTAATTAGATTTCTATTGGAAACACTAAACAAGTCAGAAGAGGTGGAGATAACACTTTATCAATTTTGAGTGCTTCTTTTATGGCCACTTAGACTATGTGGATTATCGATAGAGGTCGAACACTTAGATGACTCTTTTCTACAAAGGTTTAAATCTTTTCTATAAGAGGTAATTCTTTATTTAGAGCTTTAATTCGTGAATATATGGTTAGTTGATTCAATGGCATGATCTTGGCCCCTATAGATGGAGGAAATTTTTGTTTTATTTTGTATCTCTATATGATGCATGATCATTCATTATCCACCTTGTTCTTGGAACTAGGATAACACTAACACACATAACTCATTTAATCTAATTATTCAAACATCGTAATTAACATATCCTTAACATACATGCATCATCAATTCATTATAATTCATTCATCATATATCATTCTCAACAACATGTTCATCAAACCCTAATTCAAGCAAGCTTTACATTAACATTAATCACATATCCAAACATCAAATTTTACAATGTAAGTGAGGAATTACACTCACCTCACTTAAAATCTTGCCCTTGCTCTTTCTTTTCCTCATTGGTTTCTTTCTTCCTCTTCCTTTAAAGAATTTCAACCAAATAGGAAATTCTTTCCATCTCTATGCTTGATCTTTTAAGATGGTTTGGAAGCTAATTTAGACTCGTTTCTAAGTGGATTAAAGTGATTAGGAGTGTTCGTTTTAGGTGGTTAAAGATTCTCTCTTTTTGCCATAGATTTTCTTTCCTTTTTCCTTTCTCTCCTTTTTTCCCATTTTCTCCCTCCCTATTTCCCCTCTTTAAAATATGGAAATCCAAATTTTCTTATCACATTTTGTTCCTTAAATTCAACTATGGAATCCATCACATTATAGACACTTTATACCTTAGTTCTTTAACTTCCAATCCTTGTAATTTGACCATATAATTTTAGTCCATAACTTCACATTTTTCATTAATTTAGCCCTCATCTAGGCCAATCTTAAAGTTAATTCAAGTCCTCGAAGGCTTTATAATCATTCATGTAAGGACCTTGACACTTAATCTTTATAATTATACCCTTATGTTTTATAATTACACCCCTATGGCAATGCATAACCATATAAATTAAGGGCATCATTGCTTAATTCAAGCTTCCCTCATTCCTAATTGAATTTCAAACTTCATTATATATTTCAATAAATATATTTTTTTATTAATTTATAAAACATCCATACATCATAATTATATTTTTAGAGGGGTTTTGGTCATAGATATTGCATTTAAGGTAAAGGATAAGGTAATGCATATCATTGAATGCAATTTCATATCATTATCATGAATGAGGTTTTACGTTCATGATTTTGATAAAGAAAAAAGGAAAAGGATATATTTTCAAAGGAAATGACTAGGTACCTCCAAAAAGGTTATAAGAGGAATGATCACCCTCTCGTAAGGCAAAAGAAAAGGAAAAGGTAAAGGAGAAAACAAAGAGAAGGTACCTAGTGATTTTTTGAGTTTTCAAAAAATGCATGTTTTAAACGAGGATCGATTAATTACACCATTGACAGAGTGTGCTTGAAGAAGAAAATGAATTTTTAAAAGACACAAAAAATGATTTAAATGAATCACGTGCGTATATGCATGGACTACTTTTACCGAGTATCGCTCACCTTTGCTCTTTGTTATGTAAGTGATAAAAAAACCAAGTGATGATCGTCGCCGAGGAGAGGTAAATGACTTGCCGTTTTTTTCTTTTAATAAATAATAGCAAGTGAGAAGACTTACCTCTTCTTTTAACATGTTTGGCTTTCTCGAGGTCCAATCATTTTGTTCGAAGGTTCTCTAGCCATCAAACTAGGTGGGTTTGCATCAATGAAGGCTTGCAACTAGTAACACCGCATTTAATTAATATGTCAATGACATATTTATATTGATTCAAAATAATGCCACCTAAAGATCATGTGATTTCTAGGCCTAAAAAATGTTTAAATTTATCAAGATCTTTAATATAGAGCGTGGTGTCTAAATATTATTTAAGCTAAGAAATTTTAATAGTAGCAATGCCCATAATAATCAAAGAATCAATATAAATTAGAACCACAATGAAGGAACCAAGCTAAGAGGAAGTGGACAAAAAGTAGTAGGAAGAAGATCGAAGTAAGCTAACCTCAAGGAAGGATCGAGTAAATTTTTTATACTAGTTACGGAACGCTTGATAAAGCCCATAAAAGGACTTCTAAAGATGAAAAATATGATGCTCCTCCTTTTTAACAAAACGTTGAGGAATCTTCATGTATAGTTCTTTAGTAAGGTCACCATGCAAAAAGGCATTGTTGACATCTAACTAGTGTAGTTCCCAATTGCATACAAAAGCAATTGCAAGAAGACAATGGACCATAACTAGCTTAGCGACCGGGGCAAATGTCTTGTGAGAATCAATATCTTTAATCTAAGTGTAACCATTTGCCACAAGACGAGCTTTGTTTTTTTCAATTGAGCCATTAGGGTAAAATTTGACTTTGTATACTCATTTGAAATCAATAACATGTTTCCGAGCATGTAAGGGTACAAATGTCTAAGTACAATTGGCTTCTAAAGTATAAATTTCTTTAGACATGACATCCCTCCACTAAACAAGTTGAACGAGTTTGAGAAAAAGACTTAGGTTCATCGATAGAAAAAATGACAACTAAAAAACCATCATGAGTTTTAGAAAATTTGTAATAAGAAATATTATAACATAAAAGATGCATTGTCAAGTTAACTCGAATGGAGAGCAGAGTGTGAAGTTGAGAGAGATAGTAAGAAATGTGGCAAAGTATAATGAAAACCAAAAAAATACTTGGATAAGTGTCTAATTTGAGTAGAATTTCCAACTAAAGAATCGAAGTAGAAGAGACAGATTGATCATCTTGAGAATCTTAGAACAAAGGCCTACTAGAAACTAGAATATGTGGCTAATATGATGTCGAAGACATAGAGAGAGAAAACCTAACTTTTGTAGCAAGTGGGATTGTTAGAAGGTGCAAGGCCGTAACATGTATATTTTGTAATTGTGGATTATGTTGGAGAGGATGACCCAATTACTAAAAAGCTAAAGTAAAATGTGGTTTTACTATTCATTTTTACTATTTGAAATACTATTCATACACTTACAAATCACTATTTCTTTTACTATTCATATAATTTTTTAGCACTTTGATCACTATTTATTTTCACTATTTAAAACACTATTTACACACTCATAAATCACTATTCACATACTCACAAATCATTATTTCTTTCGCTATTCATGTCATTTTTTAGGAGTTTGGTCCTTAATTTTTCTATACTTGTTTTTTTTTCAATTTCAAATTTTAATTATATTATGATTTGATCTCATTTTATCTTAGTGTTTTCTTTTAATTATTTTTATTAGTTAAAATTTACTACTTTAATTTGTCATTTTTTTAATATAATCATATGTTATTAGTATTATGATCATATTATAATAATATTATTTTTCTATACTAAGCATTTACTATTTATTTTTTATTTTTGAATTAAATAATTAAATAATGTTTTGGCTTAACCACACAATGATTCAAATTAATATGGTTTTTTATTTTAATATTATGCATTCTTTTGTAAATAAATATATAAAAATTAAATTCATATTTTTTCAAAAATTGATATTCTCATCAATATTAAATAAAAAAATTATTTGTTCAATTCTATATAATTGTTATTTATGTTTTTTGATATAATCTTATAAAATACTAAAGCTTTTTTTAAAAAAATATTATTTAATTTTCTTTTTAGTTAATAATCCATGGATTAATAAGGATAAATCCTTTTTCTAAAGGAACAATTATAAAAATAAAAATAAGAAATAGTTAAATAAAAAAATTTTGGTTAAAAAATTATAAATAATTTTTTAATCTTTGATTTCATATATTTTTTAAATTATTTAATATATTTTTTCACCTTTATTATATATATATATATTAAACGATTTTATATATTTTATTTAATTTACAAGTGTAGAGAGGGTAAAAAAATAATACACACTAAATAAGAATGTACAAGTGCAAGTTATGCTACAAAAGATAGTTCGGTATATGTAGATGAGGAAGAAGTTGAGACGTTATTAGAATGAGCCTCGGTAAAAGTAATTGGATTGGGCTTAATTTGGTTATCCTGTGCATTGGTGTCAATCTGGATATTCGTTGTAGGACTAGTCCGTTTTGATCCAGAGTGGCATCATTAGGCCGAATAGTGGGATGAATGACATAATGCATACCACCGAATGGGCTAAACCGATTTGAAAAATATAATGATATATTTTCTTTGTGTAAATCAGCAACATAAGTCGTGGTAGGGGCAAGTGAAAAAATATCCTCTAAAAAATGGACATCATGAGAAGAATAAATCATACAAATGTCCAAATCATAAATCTAGTGGCCTTTTTACCTATATGGATATCTTATAAAAATACATGGTTTCCTTCGAAAAGCAAATTTGTCATAAGGCCTATTATCAAAATGTCTATATATGATCATAATTGGGTAGTTTGCCAAATAAAAGTTTATAATGAGTTTTGTTTTGCAAGGCAAAATATGACATGATTGATTAAATAAGCTATAGTCAAAATGCATTCACTTCAAAAATTGATTGACGAGTTAGCCTTAAAGCGCAAGGCTCTAGTCATTTTTGAAAGATGCATGTGCTTTCGTTCAACCATAACATTCTCGCTGGAGTATATCTCGTGCAACTAGTATGCCTGTCTATTCCATATATAAAATAATAATTCATCAAATCCAAATGGTTAAATTTAAGACCATTATTAGTATGAAAAATCTTGAGTTTTGCATTAAACCGCATGTGAATCCAATTGAAAAATAACCAAAGATATCAATTAGTTTTTGATTTGTGATTCATGAGAAAAATCCATATGGCACAACTATGATCATTAACAATTGTGAAAAAGTAATGTGATCTAGAATGAGATAGAGGGTGACAGAATCTTGATATCACAATAGACTAAGTTAAATTTATTTTTGGACTTATTGGTGAAAGTTGAAAAAGGCAAGTCTAGTCCATGTAACTTTGCAATAAGCATCCCAAAAAAATAAAATAAAATCTTGAATTAATCATTCATTACTAATAAATCTAGAACTAGCAAAACTCAATTCATTGGTATATGTTCTAAACGATGATGTTGTAAATCTATTGTATTATGTCCCTTTGTCATAAGTACCTTCCTTATCACTATTGGTTTCAAATGATGCTGATTATTTTGCACTCTATCCACTCTATTTAGCTTCCATGAGGGTAAATTATGCATCACAAAAAAATTAGATCCAAAAATTAGAATACAATTGTGGTTTCGAGTTAATTTACCGACTAAAAGTGAATATAAAAAATAAAAATAAATAAACATTCTCAAAAGTTACTTTAAGATTTAAGTTATGACTAAATTGTACTCCACCCGGAGCTTTAACTAGAATGCAATCTCCATTGAGGATTTGAACCGAGAAAATAACTGAATTTATGTAGACATTAGTCATAATTGCAAGTTATATGATATGTGCCCATATCCCCAATTCTGACTTACCAAAAAGTTTTTGAGAGGTCATATTAGTAGATGGGCCAATTGAAGATCTAGACTAAGAGCTAAAAAAAGATGAAGCAGCTGTTGGATTTGGGCTGCCGAGACTAGGCTAAATGAGCGAAATCGGTGGACCTGTGGGATTAGGTTGCACTCGTTGCTGATTGATGACCCAAGAATTTAGTTGTTGTTGCAAAAAAAAAAAAAAAAAAAAAAAAAAGGGAATATATAGAGTTAGTATTAGTTTAAAGCCCTAAACATTAGGATCAATAATCCTACGAATGAGGTAGCTTATATATATGGATATGATTAAGTTCGTATACATATACAAGGAGTATTAAAAACAATATTCTAATACAATATTTTCTAAAATAATCTTCTTAACGTCAGCAAGGTGCAATTAAATTTTTTTGAAATCAATTTACAAACAAATTTTTTCATATTAAAATGTCATAATCAAATGTCAAATGATAAGCTATAGAGTGTAGTTTCTACAAATGATATTAAAATCCTTTTCAAAAAAATATTTTTAAATAAGAATTCTGTTTATATAAACATAATTATTATTAATTTTATCACAAATAAAACCATCTCCTTTTGTGGACTTAACAACACGTCCCTACTAATGAGTTATATCAAAACAAGACCAACAATGATCATATTATTAATAAAAACAAAAAGGCAAATAATAATAATAATAATAATGCTTATTATTATTTTACGAAGCAAGAGAACTCGTGTTTTATTATTAGGCAAATTCTCATGAATGAGTTGCAAGTTTCCTGTCATCCTATTATTATTGACAATCGGATATCAACTAATTCTTTCGACATTGACAAAGCAAAAGCCAGGCACCAATAGACCAATTATTTTTGTTAAGGATAACTGGCATAAGATGGAGTTAGAGTTTGCTAAAGCAGAATTTCCTCTGATATTATTACTGCCCTGCATGTCCAATTAGAAGCTTGAGAAGCAAATTTGATGTTTTGTTTTGTTTTGCATTTTTGTTTTTGTTTTTTTTTTTTCGGATAAATAAGAGTAGACTCGAATGCAGATATTTAAAACATCAATATCAAGAGTTCTTTAATTTGCTCATTAATTCTACACGTTGATCATGCCAGTAGTGTAAGGCACGCCAGTAGGTGGAATCCATTCATCACCCTGAAGGAATTTTCCAGCGGTGTAACCATCAGCTTCCTCTGGTGTAAGCTTCTTGATGCCAGTCCATTTTACTCTGTTGGTCTCTACTGCACCAGGTCCCCGATTGTTGTACTCAGAATAGAATAGCGTATTCAGGCCAAAATCACCCAACCATGGCAACCAACCTTCCGGAGCAATCAAATCATCAATATGAGATTGCATGATAATAGTCTTGGACAACTCCCTCCATGGCCGGCCAAGATATGCCTTGTTCTTCAACCTGACAGGAAAGTATGCAGGGTCTGCTGTAATAGTGCAGTTTTGGATGACAAAGCCAGTGGGCTCGCGTGTCTCGTTCCTTCCTTGAGCTGTGACAATGCACTGTTGGTTGTCCAGTGGCTTTCTGACGACCAGTTTGCAGTTTTGGAAAACAGCAATAGCATCGCCAAAGATGAAGTCAATTGTACCTGTGATGGTGCAGTCACGGTAGAATTGGCGCTTGGTGTGGGCATAGAGGGTGTCTTGGTAACCATCTATTTGGCAATTATAGAAAACAGACATATCGGCTTGGACTCGTAGTGCCACGGCTTGGTGTCCAATAGCTCCTGCAGAGTTCTCAAATCCAATGTCCTTGGCCATGAAGTAATCTCCACTAATTGCTGTACGGTTGCAAATGACAAAACATTATGAGAGAATAAATGCCAAACATTAATGACGGAGTTAATCCATACATTACTTAGTATTGGTTTCCTCCCCATAACAGTTCTCAAGGCAAGAATAGTACTTACAAACTGTTGCGGTTTTGAATGTTTGGACTCCATTGGCATAGTTGAGATTTCCCGTGATCTTGGTCTTTGTAGGGCCATCACCAATCATCAGAACGTGGGTATGGCTCCTTGAGAGGATCACTTGCTCTTTATAAACTCCTTCCTTGATGTATAGCACGAAGGTTTCATTTTTTTTCTTAGGAATATTCTTGACTGCCTCAGCAATTGTTTTATATTGGCCACTTCCATCCTGAGCCACAATTGCTTCAGGCTTAATTGTTGCCGGAGTCTCTTGGAGGAGTTTCCTTTTTCCAGCAGTGACCCATGAAGGAAATTTATCATCAGCTTCTAGGAGCCTGCGGCTCGTCAGTCCAGGAATTTGCAAATCCTTAAGGATGGAAGTGATGCCATCGACCATGGCTAGGCCATTGCTGGTGAGCTGATTAGAAGCCATCAAAAACTCCTTCATTTTGTCCCCAGCTGGACCTGTTGTGTTCTCAAACCCATCCAAACAAGTCTGCTGATACGTGATGGCAGCGCTAAGCCAGACTTTAAGGTTATTTACATACTCCTCGAACTTGCTAACCTGGAATGACTCTATCTCATCAAAAGAATGCTCGAGTTCAGCAATAGCATCGTCCATCAATTCACGGCAATTATCAAGAGCCTGTCTAGCCATTGGATCTTTGGCCAATTCTTTCAATGTGGCGGAGTTATTGACGGCATTTTGGAGAGCTTCGATTGCAACCTTGAAACCAGCCTGGACAAGCTTTGAAGGATCAGTTGTGTTTCCTGCAGCTTTTGAGAGGCTTTCTTCACAGGTTTCTCTATAATCTGTGGGTTGGCAAATGGCTTTGATTGATTTGGATGTTGTGGATATCTGGCCCTCATGAGAGCTTTCAGGCTTCGACTCTCGATGGCTGCCACCGATTCCAACAGCCACAGCAACGACCATGGCTACCAGGACTAAAGATGACACGCCAATAATGGCAAACTTCTTCTTCCTCTCATTGCAAACATTATCGTTGCCAAATGCCATCTTCTTCAATGTAGTTAACGTCCTGGGCTCAGAACTAAGACACAAAATATTACAGATTATGCCTATATATATCACTGCTGCTATCTTTTATAAACAGAGGTTTTAGTGCCCGTCAGACCCTCAAGATGCGAGACATCTCTTTATAAAAGGAGGAAGGGAAGACAAAAATAGGTAAGTTCAAAATTCTTTACTTTTTATCCTAGGAAATGTGAGGTATGAGAGACAACGGCCAAAAATGAGGGTCCTCAGATCTTATTTCCAAATTTAAGAGATTCCAGAAATTTAGATTAAAAAAGAAGTTACTGGTTGCTTTTTTCTACAACAAATGATATTACAGCACTTTTGGGGCTGGCTGAAGTTGATTAGTTAAAAATAACTACTCCTCGGTGCTAACTGATAAATTAATTTTTTAAAATATGCTAAAAAAATTCATCTGCCATATATCTAAGCTCTTGCTACACCTTTCCTGTTATATATATATATATATATATTTCTTTGCATACATAAAAAATATTAAAACAATTGTACATCAATGATAATAAATATTTTTTAACATGGCTCATGTTTTATGTTTTGTTTTAAATATATAAATGATAACTAAAAGTTTAGAAATCATTGGACTCTAATGTTAAACTAAGCACGTTCTTAATGAATGAAAATGTAATAATTAAGTTAAAAAAGAGTCTCAAGTTTAGTCATGTAAATATTACGTAAAGCATATATTTTTTTATAATATATATAATTTTTTTTAAAGTATTAGCATAGATTATAAAGCTCTTTTTCTAGACAATACCAATTTTTCTTGGATAATTTTTTTAAGTATAATCAATCATAATAAATAATATGTATAATATTAATTCTATTATGTTTATATGATTCAATATATTTAATTTATCTCGGTGTGGCATCGGTTTTTTTCTATTTTGATTAGCGCAAAATTTTGTTTTTTAATTAATTGTATATGAGTATATTAAGCATGTCATCCGACTATATTAATAAGGCATGCATTGGAGTTTGAGTAAGATTACATGTTTTTCCATCTGCCAAATGAAGGGATGATGCAGCAGCGAGAAAAAAATAAAAAATAAAAAACCCAAAAGAGGCGAGATTTGACAAGTCAAAGATTAATTTACTTTTGACCAATAGTTGCACAACATAAGATAACAATTTTGTAAATGATTTGCCTTTTCCCAATGTGAAGCCGACATGGAGTGTGGTCAAACAACTCCTCAACTAGGCCGGAGATAATGATCATTTAGGCCCAAGAGTTTCTTTTCTACGTAGACCAAATATATATATAAGAAATTTAAGTTACCTTAATCTATTTACGTCACATAAATCAGGATTTAAATTTTAGAATGAGTCTAAGTATCTTTAAAATTCTATATTCGATTTAAATTAGAAAGTTAAGTCATATAAGTTATTTAGAAGGATTAAATTAGACTTTTTGTAGTCTATGCTTGATAAAAATTTTTTTTAATCTTATCTTATCTCTAAGTGGCTGAATAAAGCAAGGACTTATTTTATTTTATTTTATTGTGAAGTTGACACTAATTAGTATAAATAGTCATATATCTTGTAGGTAAACACATTTGAACACTTGAATATTGATTAATAAAGTTTGGAGAAGTTTCTCTCATACTTTGGATCATTGTGCACTCGCTTAGAGTTTTATTCTATATCCTTGAACTTGATTATTCAAGGTAGTGCTACTAATAATAATAATAATAAAAACTAACCTAGAGTGTAGTGGGATTAATAATCACTCTAAAATCATCTAGCTTTACATCAATTAGAAAGATTGTGGTGGAGTTTCAAACAATTTTGCTAAAATGAATCAAGAGCTACAGCTTTTCATCCATCCAACTTTTCGCCCTACATCTAAACAAGATTGAAATTTTTGTTTCATCTATTAATTTGAAGAGTGAGGCCATAATTTTTAATCTTTTAAAGAGTTCAAATTGGCAACCATCAAATTTAAGTTAGGAGCATTGCGTATTTTTCAATTCTTCACAAAAACGATTTTAACTTGGTATTAGATATAAAATTGCTTCCTTGCATGTTTTTTGATGAAATCTTATAGAGATGCCACTTGAAAGACTATCGACAGAGAAGCCTAAGAACGGTTGGAGTCGTCACCTAGCATCGAGGAAGATAGAGATCACTATCATCACATACTACCCAAGATAGGCTACATTGTATGCATATGAAAAACTAAGGTTTGGTTTTATTATGTTTTGCATCTATGCCTACCTAAGTGAATTCATCTTACTTCGGTTGATTGATCGAGTAGTTTGGGACTTAGGCTAGTCAAAGGCCTAGTTTCCTACTCTAAGAGTAAAAAGAAGAATCATGTTTACGAAATGGCGAGCCTTTAATGGCTACAACCCATAATCACGGAATCTTAGCGACTCGCTAATGACTATAGCCAAAAACACTAAAATTGACGAGTTCTTAATGATCGTAGCTTGTAAATGCTAAACTTGGTGACTCCCTAATGATTGTAGCCCATAAACGCTAGACTTAGCAAGTTTCTAACTACTGCGAGTCTACTAGCACTAAACTTAGCCATTCTCTAATGAGTGCAACCCATAAATACTAAATTTGATATATCTCTAACAATTGTAGCCCATAATCATAAACTTACCAAGTCCCTAGTGGCTATAACCCATAAACACCGGTAATAGATACGAGTGATCCATCCTTTGATTCGTCCAACACAAGGAGGTTCCTCATCCTATTGCCCAACACTTTTATGATATGTTGAATTTATTACATAGAGAGATTTGGCCTGGTTGTGATGAATATTCGTAATTGGCGACGAGTAGCTCGAATGCTTAACCTAAAAGTCGATTATCATTTTCCAAAAAAGTGTTTCGACCGATTATGTGAGTCGATGAAAGAGTTGATGCTTGGTTGATAACTATATGACAAATAACTTTTATGAAACAAGGAAGGTAGTCAAATAGATGGGTTTATTGGTTGAAAAAATGCATTATTATCGAACGGGTGCATGATTTATTGGAAGGAAGATAATGAATTAGATAAATATAGATTTTGTCAACACCTCCATATCAAAGTTCTTATAAAGGATCAAGAAGAGGAAATCTTATTTCAAATAAGAAAATGTACTACTTTCGTCTAACCCCACATCTACAACGATCGTATGCTTCGAATGCGCGAGTGAGCACATGATGTGGCATGCTGAACATAGGAGAGATGATGTAGAAGTAATGTGTCATCCTTCGACTATATTGCATGACAAAGTTTCAATTAGATTAATCTTCCTTTTGTAGCTGAAATAAGGAACGTCCGATTAGGAGTGTGCCACCGATAGGTTTTAACCATTTAGTCAATTTGGTATGTAATATTTCTTGTGGTCGATCATTGTGACTCCATATAATTTGCCACCATACATGCATATAAATGAGGAATATATGTTCCTAACGAGTGATTGTTTCGAGTCCAACAAATCCAAAACATAAGTTGAACGTTTACTTACGACCTTTCATATTTGAGCTTATCTAGTTATAGGAGGTGGGTATGGTGACCTACGATGTGTACCATAAGTAGAATTTTTTATTAAGAACTCGTAGTTATGTGGACTATCGGTGACCTTCCCGCATATTCAATGCTATCCGATTGGAGTACTATAGGAAAACAAGCTTCCCTTACCGTATGGAAAATTCGGATGTTTTCTCCCTTCCAAATGGAATGAAGACCTCTAGGTTTGACAACCAATAAAATTTTCTTCCTCATAATCATCTATATAGAAGAAAAAGAAAGCATTTACCACCAATGAAGTTGTTAAATTTGGTCTTCCTCTAATCCGATCCGGAATGGAGATGTTACATTTGGTCGAGCGGTGAGGGTTACGAAAGGTGACGAGAAGATGGTTCGGATATATTAGAATCTCTCGGATGCCTAGATGGAGGAAGAAGAGTATTTTTTAGGATTTGCCTTACTGGAGTACAAATCTCATTCGGTATAATTTATATGTATGCATATTAAGAAAAATGTTTTTGATAATGTTTTTAACACAATCATGAATGTGTTGAGAAAAACTAAAGATAATGCCAAATCCAGGGAAGACTTAAAACTCTTTTGTAAAAGGCCGAATTAGCAAAGGATGATGCATCCGAAAAGTATCCTAAAGCTGCATTTACTCTGTCAAAACAAAAAAAAAAAAAAGAAGAAAACTTGTTGAATGGATAAAACAACTCAAGTTCCTCGATGGATATGTGTTTAATCTAGTTAGATCCGTTGATATGCGGCATGACAAACTTTATGGGATGAAAAGTCATGATTGTCACGTCTTCATGCAAAGATTACTTCCAATTGGATTTCGAGAGTTTTTCCCAGAAGGCAATCACTTACGAGTTGAGTTTGTTTTTTAAGTAATTGACTTCTACATTTATAAAGTAAGAGGATATATTACAACTTAATGGTGAGATACCCATCATTTTATGCAAACTAGAACCTATGTTTTCACCTAGCTTTTTACACTCCATGGAACATCTTCCAGTCCATCTACCATATGAGACATCTATTATGGGACCTATGCAATATCGATGGATGTATTCATTTGAAAAGTATCGACATTCAATTTAAAAGTAAAATTAAATAAATTTCTTACTTTCGAACGTTAAAATTATTCATATTTACGAGCATATACGAAGCTAAGAAATAATGTCAAGAATAAAGCTAAAGGGGAAGGAGCAATATGCAATGAATATTTGGTCAAAGAAGCCTCACTATTTTACTAGTATTATTTTGAGCCTCATATGCATGCTAGGCATCGAAAAGTGTCACATAATTTTGATTTCAACGATGAAGAAGAAAACCATATTGAAGGGATATTATCCGTATTTAAACAACCGGGTCTATCAATTGGTCGATATAAAATAAGAAAATTGACACAAGTAGAACACAAAGCGACCTCAATAATATATATTTTTGAATTGTGAAGAAGTCAAACCTTACATTGAGTGAGTTTATTG